CACACACACACACACACACACACACACACACACACACACACACACACACATACAATTTACATTTGCAAAAATACCTGAGTGAAAATTACATAAAAAAGGAAAGTATAAAAATGATTACAGTATAAAAAGATTAAAACTGTGCTCATGTTTTCATTTCTTTAAAAAAATTAACCAAACTGTTTCTGTGAAACCTAATAGCTGTAGCTAACAGTTTCTGTGACACTTTTCATGATACTGGGATGTTAGAATCGCATGATAGGTGCTTTATTTTGAAAACAATGACCGGAAGTTTAGCTGCTTAGCCACGTTAGCTTGCTTTTGGTCCCTTTTCCCGTCGTGTCAGCCAGGCTCGTCCAGCATCACCGCCTCCTTTATATCCACCTCCCCCCGCCTTGTGTATTTTCTATCCTTCTGTTATTTTCCCCCTTGTTTTCCACTCTTTCACCGCCGGCCGTAACATGAACACTTCCGCGGTTAATGCGCGTTTCTTCCCACGGCCGGAGCACCGGTAACCGCTCGAGATTTTCCGTGTCGCATCAGCCGCGCGCGACTAGAAGAGAGGGAGAAAAACATCCCGTCCACGAACGAGCCGTGTCTTCCCACACCGAGACGTGTTTTGGTTCTCATGTCTGCGTGGTTCCGTGTGGAAGCAGGGCCTCCAGCCCGCCGTCAGCCCGCTCTCCTTCCGCCTCTGCAGCATCTCTGAGCCCGGGACAAGGAGCAGCGGGGGCCGGGGCTGAGGACCAGCTTCATGCCCCTCCATTCACTGAGCCCCTGGTTCTGCAGGTAAGCGCGCGCGCGTGCACGCACGCACGCACACACACACACACACACACACACTGCATGAGTGGGGAGGGGTTGCACTAAATAACCTGCAGTGTTCAGCACATTAAATTTACCTGATTAATTAAACAGGAAACAATGCAGTAGCAGTTTACTGTAGCTCACAGTGCAGCTGCATGCTCCTCTGTGTAGTCATTTGGAGTGTACAAGTTCTAATATGCACATAAATACATCTTAAATCATGATGGTCTGTAGAAAAAAAAATACTTTCAGAAACCCTGATATAGTCTGTGCCCATCTTTCAGTGCTGAAGAAGGACAGACATATTAACTGTTTTATACTGATCTGCTGTATGATTGAGTTTAATACAACATTAAGACAAACAACTAAACATTGTCTTGTTTTGACTAAAACTAAGCGAGGCTCTGTAGCAGACAGGTGTGTGTTTGCACTGATCCAAGGTGGAAAGACATCAGCTCGTGACTAAAACCCCAGGATCTGGAAGGTTAAACGTCATGACATCAGTAAAAACTGAACTGATGTGGTTCGTTTGGAGTTTCCAAAGAGCAGAGTTTAACTTTCACATCCCAACAAACCAAGTCAGTTCTGTGTCATTTTAAGACTCAATAAAAACAACTGTAGCACTGATTGGGTTGTTAATAATTAGTTCTGGATCTCTGCAGGAAAATGTTTCATGTTTTTTTTAATTAGATTATTAAAAACAGAAGTGTGATAAAGCAACAAATTGAGTCTCCAGCTGCATTCAAACTGGAAAAAACATAATATAGGTTTAAAACCACAGTGCAGCTGTAATACCCATAGAGTGGCTGTAATACTTGTAGAGCAGCTGTTATAACCTAAGAAGAGAAGCTGTAATACCCATGGAGCAGCTGTTATTACTGTAGAGCTGCTCTAATAACCTTAGAGTAGCTGTTATAACTACAGCATCTGTTATAACCGTAGGGTGGCTGTAATACTTGTAGAGCAGCTGTTGTTTTTGTGGAGCGGCTGTTATAGTTGTAGAGCCACTGCAATAACCTTAGAGCAGCTGTTGTAACTGTACGATATCTATAATACCTGTAGAGTGATTGTAAAAGTTGTAGAGCAGCTGTTAAAACTATAGAGCTGCTATAACAACCTTAGAGCCGCTGTTATAATTATAGAGTGTCTGTTATAACCTTAGAGCATCTGTTATAACTAAAGATACTGTAATACCCGTAGAGCAGCTGTAATAATTGTGTAATAACCGTAGCAAGTCTGTAATAACCGTAGCAAGTCTGTAATAACGTGGAGTGGCTGTAATAACTGTAGAGTGTTTGTAATAACCATAGAGCAGCTGTTATAACTGTTAAGATTCTGCAATAACCATAGAGTAGCTATATAACTGTAGGACAGCTTTTTTAATTGTAGAGCAGCTGTTAAACTGAGCACAGATTTTATAATTTTAGAGCAGCTACAATAATTGTAGAGCAGCTGTTATAATGGTAGAGTATCTGTAATAACCGTAGAGCAGCTGTTATAGCTGATTATAGCTTTTATAATTTTAGAGCAGCTGCAATAATTGTAGAGCAGCTGTTATAACAGCATAGTGTCTGAAAAAACCATAGAGCAGCTGTAATAATTATGTAATAACCGTAGCAAGTCTGTAATAACCGTAGAGTGGCTGTAATAACATGGAGTGTTTGTAATAACCATAGAGCAGCTGTTATAACTGTTAAGATTCTGTAATAACCATAGAGTAGCTATATAACTGTAGGACAGCTTTTATAATTGTAGAGCAGCTGTAATAACCATAGAGCCGCTGTAATCATTGTAGAGCAGCTGTTATAATATGGTAGAGTGTCTGTAATAGTTGTAGAGTGGCTGTTGTGGTAACCAGTGTTATGTTAATTTATTGAAGAATCCACATTAGTTTTTACTATAGTACAGTAGAGACTTTTCTTCCTGTGATCCACATTTATTACAGTAATATTACTACAGTATTACAGTTGTACTAATATTACTACTGCATTACAGTTGTTATACTAATATTACTACAGTATTACAGTTGTTGTACTAGTGTCTGTTGTTTCATGTTGTTGGGCTTTAATAAAAACACATGGTTACAGCTCAGGAGAGCATTATTCCAGCAGACTGCTGATGTCCAAACCTGCTCACACACTAACCTGACCATGTAAAACGTCCTCACAAGGATAGAAGATTGTCAAAATCATAAAGGTAGACACACACACACACACACACACACACACACACACACACACACACACACACACACAGGAACACATATGCTGCTGTGTTCTAATACGGATCAGTAAGCCAGCGTTGCCTGGCAACAGGGATGTGTGCCGGACCAGACTCCTTCCAAATTTAGGACCGGCACCGCGGGGCAAAGCTGTTTGTCTGRACCTGAAATAAGAACATGTTCCACTAAGGAGGCATGTTTGAAGCAGATTATTTGTTGTTTATCCTTTGAATTGTTTTGTGTTTATTGTTTACATATGATGAGACTGTTCAGGACTCACCTTGTCTCCCATTAGAACCGAGCTGCAGCAGCTTCTAACTGGGTCAGTCGGTCAGAAGCTGCCTGTCCTCTGGTGTCCCCCACCCTGCTCTGATTTAAGCTCTGTTAGTGTGTGTGTGTGTGTGTGTGTGTGTGTGTGTGTGTGTGTGTGTGCTGCCCTCAGACTCAGACAGAAGACCTTTATGGGATTATCCTGCCAGCTGTGTGGTTGTTGCTCGTTTGTTTACAAACAGTTTGTTTACATCCTCTCAGATTGAATCCGTCGCCTTAACCGTCCTCGCCTCTCTGGGCTCCTCCTCCTGCGCCTGGCTCCGCCCCCACAGTTCTCCGTGCCGGCTGCCCTGCCATCGTGTCCAGCTGTGGCCCTCAAAGGGCGCGCTCGCTGGCGCTCACCTGACAGGTCCCTGGCCTCAGGACGACAGCCAGCAACAACACGTTCCCTACATGAGGGACAAAGCCACGCAGGTCAGAGAGCTCCTGATCTGCTTTAATCCTGAACATCATTCAGTAAATMCTGCGAGSTTAGCAGGTTTGCAGACGGTTGCATCATCAGCATCAGAGCATCACCTGCAAGATGTGTGTCTTTTTAGTGTCTTCAGGGCAGGTGTTATCTGCAGCCGTGTGTTTCTGTGTAACAGTTCTGTGTAGTAMTGTGGTACCAGGCCACCATCTTTAAAACAAACTACAATTTCCAACATTTATAGCGGTTTTTGCAAAACAATTTACCTGAGCTGCTTTTCCAGTCTGAGGCTATCCCATTAGCAGCCTGCATGTACGACATTAATAATGTGAAAGCTTCACAATCATTCACACTATTRAGATCGTTTTTCTTCCCTACGTTTTTCTGCATCTAACGTTCCACAATTTTAGTGCTATTTCAACAATTCATATATCAAAACGTTCAGCTCATTCAYGTGAGGAGTGCTATGACTTTCGGTATTTCAGCTTTTTATACTTTTTTGGGTATTTAACTTTTTTAGCCACTTTTTTTTTTGCTCTAGAAAATGAATGGAGCTGTTTTCAACATCCTTAAAATCCTTCAAAATGTTTATAAATTAAATCTTTAATACACCTTACACATTTTGTTCTGGTTCTGCTCTTTTTCATGTTGTGCTATTTTTAGCTAATTGTTTGCTAATTTTAATTTTTTTCTACTATTTCAGCTAAAATTCTGCTTCTTTCCACTATTCTTCTGCATTTTTTCTACTTTTTTGTGCTTTTTCTTCTGCTACGTGGAGCTGTTTATGCTTCTTACAGATGCTTTCTGCTATATTCAGCTATTTTCTGAAATTGTAGCTAATGTTTAGCTGTTATTAGCTAACGTTAGCTAACACATTTTTTTGTAGTTATTACAACATTTTTCAGCAAAGTTCAACAAACTTGTGCTCCTTATGCTTCCTTATGCTAAATACAAAAATTCCAGCTAATTTTTAGTTGTTTGACTGCATTTTTCTACAATCACTTTTTTTGTACTTTTTTATATTTTTTCTGCTAGTTTTACACTTTTATACAACACGTCCTCTATCTGGGTGCTAATTTCAACWTGTGGCTGTGAACTTTAGCTTATTTTATGCTAATTTTAGTTATTTATGCTACTTTAGCTTTAGATCTGCTCCTTTCTGCTATTCTTCTGCTGTTTTCTACTTTTCATGCTTTTTTTCTGCTACCTAGTGCTATTTATGCTTCTTACAGATGTTTTCAGCTATATTTGGCTATTTTAGCTCATAGATTTGTGCTCCTTTTTACTGTTTTTCTGCAAAGTTAGTTTTTTTTCTTTCAGCTTTTCAAAGTGAGCACACATTAGCGCTTTTACAATTAAATATTTTCAGCTCATTTTCAGCAGCTTTTAGCTTAAGTTTTCAACATGAAGCATTCACACTAGCATTTTTGCAGGAAAGGCAATTTCTCTAGATGTTCATAAAGTTTCACAGAAATTTGTTTAAAATTTCTGAACTGTTCCTTTCAGAAGGAAGTGAGGAAACCAGTTGTTACACTTTGAACAAGCAAAACTATTGCTTCATATCTTCAAACGATTCAAATCCTGTGTGTGTGTGTGTGTAATGATGTAGATAAGTGTGTGTGTTTGCTCTAACCCATGTTGGTGTGTGTCTCAGACCCCCAGGGCCTGGGCAGATGAGAGGAGGAGGGGCTCTCACAAACGCTCGGCCTCCTGCGGGAGCACCGACCAGCTCAAGGAGGTCCACTTCCTTCTTCACTCTGTCGTCCCGTGCTGCTTGTAGATCTCTGCTGCTGCTTCTAAAACCAACATCTACCTGATTTTTTTTTATTTTGATTCTTTTCCAGATTGCCAAATTGCGCCAGCAGCTCCAGCGCAGCAAACGCAGCAGCCGCCATCGGAGGGACAAAGAGCGCAAGTCCCCGTTCAATGGCAGCCACACCATCATCCAGTCCCAGGTGCAGGAAACTAAAGGCTGCTGAGATCCTGACATGTTGACGCCCTGATGTGTTTATCTTCAGAGTTCAGTCAGGTCACACTGCCCTCTGACTGATACTGTCTTAACTTCAGCTTTCACTGTGTCTGAGGTCAGACAGTGGATCTCTGACCACTGTCACATGTTGGCTTTCACTCATTGTTCCTCTGTTCTACTAAACTTGTTGTTTTTGACACGTGAAAACTCCTAATTACTTAAAACTCCAGTGAGTTTATTATATTTTTTAGTTAAGCATGTCTACATTGCCGGTAGTAAGTCAGACTTGTTTCTGGTGAGAGTTGAACTCCACCAAGGTTGCCCTTTGTCACCGATTCTGTTCATAACTTTTATGGACAGAATTTCTAGGAGCAGCCACTTGTTGAGGGGATCCTTTTTGGTGACCTTAGGATCACATCTCWGCTTTTTACAGATGATGTGGTCCTGTTGGCTTCATCAGATCCTGATCTCCAGCTCTCACTGGAGCTGTTCAGCCGAGTGTGAAGAGGCCGGGACGAGGATCAGTGCCTCCAAATCAGAGAAGAGCCGCTGCTCCTCCACGKTGAGAGGAGCCAGTTGAGGTGGTTCATCTGGTTAGGATGCCTCCTGGACGCCTCCCKGGTGAGGTGTTCCAGRCACGTCCCACTGGGAGGAGGCCCAGAGGAAGACCYAGGACACGCTGGAGGGACTATGTTTCTCAGMTGGCCTGGGAACACCTTGGGATTCCCCCTGATGAGCTGGYCCAAGTGGCTGAGGAGAGGGAAGTCTGGGTCTCTCTGCTTAGGCTGCTGCCCCCGAGACCYGACCCCGGATAAGAGGAAGAAAACGAACGGACACGTCACCAATTTTGTTACTGATGCAATGCATTGTGGGAATGATGACATCAAAATAAGTTGCAGTTCAGATTTGCTGTGTCCAAAACGGTGGGCCAGGTCCTCCGGAGGATCCAGTCTACCC